AGTAATAACAACAATAATCAATATCATCATGATGGGCGGCGGTGGTGGCGGTGGCGGGGGGGCGGCAGGACCGGCCTGGAGCCAATCCAAAGGCCTCAGGGGGCGCATCTGGCCCCCGGGCCTTAGGTTGCCTACCCCTGTGTTAGATGGATAGACTCTATTAAGGGGGTAAAGATTATTAAGGGCTTGCAGGTTTTAAGCACAGCAGTGAACAACAGAAGGTCTTGGAGATTTCTCATCCATAGGGTCGCCATTAGTCGAGATCGACTCGAGGGCAGTTAACAACAAAAAAATCTCATCAGCCAAGCAGTTGGCACTGTCTTGGCACTTGCAAAAGGCTGATACTCTGTTCAGGATTTTGTAAATGTCCAGACTATTCATGTCACTTTGATATCACTTTAGCTGCCATGGCTCCGTCTGAAGGAATCCTGGGGTTTGTAGTTTGGTGTAGGTTAGGGTACTTTTGCCATAGAGCTCTTTAAGCAGAGAATTCTAAACAGCTCATCCTACTACAAATCCTACAATGCCATAGGACTGTTGGAATAGTGTTGGAGTGCAATGTGGATATAACCCCTATTATGCCAGTGTAAACCATTATGCAAGTAGCTGCACTGTCTAGGAGATTCCATATGTGTGATGGATGGAAAAGTGGATTGACTTTTGTGCCACAGGAGAATGAAATGGCGTAGTGGTTTGAGTGTTGGACTGCAACTTTAGACACCCACTGGGTGACCTTGGTCATGCCTCAGGGGAAGGCAATGGCAAACACCCTCTGAACAAATCTTGCCAAGAAAATCCCATGATAGGCTTGCCTTAGGCCAGGGTCACTGTAAGTTGGAAATGAGTTGAAGACACACAACAACAACAACATCTTCCCAAACAAGGCTAGAAAAGCATAACTGTAACAGGATAAAGAGAGATGATAATAATAATAATAATAATAATAATAATAATAATAATAATAATAATAATAATAATAATATTCTTGTAGCACCTTTGAGACTAACTGATAGAAAGAAGTTGGAGCATGAGCTTTCATAGACTACAGTCTACTTCCTCAGATGCATTTAGTCAGGGGTAGGCAACCTAAGGCCCGGAGGCCGGATGCGGCCCCCCGAGACCTTTGGACTGGCCCCAGGCCGGTCCTGCCACCGCCGATGTCCCCCCGCCCCCCCCCCGGCCACCCGCCATGATGATATTGATTATTGTTGTTATTACTTGTTCTTGGGGTTTTCTTGGCAAAATCTCCACAGGAGTTTTGTCATGGCTTTTCTGGGGCTGAGAGAGTGTGCATGCATATTTTTTTAATTTTTTTAATTTTTAATTTTAATTTTAATTTATTTATTTATTTATTTTTGGTGCTTCGGCCCCCCAATTGTCTGAGGGACAGCAACCCGGCCCCCAGCTCAAAAAGGTTGCCTAACCCTGCATTTAGTGAAGTGGAAACTCCACTCCGCTAAATGCACCTGAGGAAGTAGACTGTAGTCTATGAAAGCTCATGCTGCCAACTTCTTTCTTTCAGTTAGGAGATTATCGCATTGACTTTTCAGCCCAATCCATGCACGGGATGGGATTGGGCTGGAACAAGGTAAAATGGGCTTTATCATACACAAAATTGCCACTGCGCTGCCGGCCAACCATCACCAGTCCCTGAGCCGCACTCTGCTAGCTGATTTTGGTAGTACGAACTGGGTTGTGGGTTTTTTTTGTTTGTTTGTTTGTTTTTTTGTAGTACGGATTGCTTTTTCTGATACTGCTGCACTGCCCAATTTCTTTGTACAAACAGACATTAGTGAAGTAATGGCAAAGTGTTGGAGGGCACATCAGTCTGTGTCATGTGGCTTGCCAGGATCCATGTAGGCTGCTGCCCACAGGGATGGTGGAAGATGCCGTGGAGGACATCACTGAGAGCAAAACGTCTTGTGTGTGATTTTAGACCTTTGCATAAGCATCTTTCATTAAGCAGAAAGTAGATTAGCTGTGTGATTCCCATAATATTTTGTATTCAGATACAGATGTTTCAAATTTTAAAAGTATACTGTGCTTTTTAAATAGTGTTTCAGTATGTTAGCTTGGTTAATTAGTGTTTTATCTTTTTTGTCATTGGGTTTTGGCCTTTATCTTGTAACTTGGTTGTAAGCCACCTTTGGTCCCATGCTGGGAAAAGGATAGGATATAGATTCTTATAGATCGGTGGTTCCCAACCTTTGTTGTCCTCCATATGTTTTGGACTTCAGCTCCCATAATTTCTGACTATTGACCAAGTTGGCTGGGGCTTCTGGGAGCTGAAGGCCAAAACAAATGGAAAAGCAAAAGTTGGGAACCACTGTGCCAAAAGAGAAAACAAATCTAAACACATGTGTTGTTAAGTGACCAAAGGCCAGCAGCTTATAGATTCACAGAGGTTTTTAATTAGAAACTAACTATTCTAGTTACTTTAGAACAGTGTTCAAGACCATCCAGGCAAGATTTTTAATTAAAAACTAACTATTCTAGTTACTTTAGAACAGTGTTCAAGCCCATCCAGGCAAGATGCAGTCCTAGGTCCATAGGAAGCTTCCCTAGGCTGTGTGTCTGTTGTTGGCAAAGGGTTAGCCATTGATACCCCCCCTTCCAGTTTGTCCTTTTTCTTACTAAAAGGAAAATAACTTCCTCTCCTGGAAGCCTCCATGAATCGACTCACTTCTGACTTATGGAGACCTTAAGATATTTTCTTGACAAGTTTCTTCAGAGGGGGCTTGACATTGCCATTCTCTGAGGCTGAGAGTGTGTGACTTGCCCAAGGTCACCCACTGGGTTAGCATGACCGAGCTGGGATTTGAACCCTGATCTCCAGAGTCCTAGTCCAATACTCAAACCACTACACCACGCTAGCTCACAAGGAGGCTTTACACCATTCTTAAAGGTTCCTTGAAAAATTCTTACATGTTGGTAGGAATTGGATATAATAGACTTCTGGACCTCCTTGCTTGGGAGAATGCATATGGTCGTGTAAAAAGATCCTGTCATTTCCACACAGGTTTCTTTATAAAGTCAACAGGCTGCTCAAAAAAATTGCTGCAACAATAGGGTTGCCTGTGTGCGTAGAGATATTGCTTGCTTTCACAGTGCTTTCCTAATTTTGATCAAGGAGTAAAAGCACTAAAAGCAATAAATGGTTACATCTGCACTTCAGAATTAATGCAGTTTGACAGCACATTAACTATCATGGTTCAGTGCCATAGAATTATGGGATTTGTAGTTTTGTGAGCTATTTAGCCTTCTCTGTCAGAGAGATCTGGTGTCACAACGATCTACAAATCCCAAGATTCCATAAGATGGAGTCATGGCAGCTGAAACAGTACCAAACTGTATTAATTCTGCAGTGTGGCAGCAGCCTAAGAGAAGCATCTTTGGGGAGAAATAACTGTCTACTGCTTTTTAATTAAATGTCATAAAACTCTTCCTTATTTCACCTTTTAAGCTGTCTCCTTTGCTTTTCATTCCACCCTCCCCCCCCAAAAAAAAAGTTTGGATAAAAGCAGCTGTACTTCCACAGTATGCATGCTGCTTATATTTCTTGTGAAGTGTCTGCTTTGTCCTTGGGAAGGAGCATGTAGTACTCAAATATCTTTAGGAGACAAAAAGCATTTCTTTTTTTGGATTATGAAATAAGGTGCCAGTCCTCAAGACACAAAGAATTAATAGTTCACACTCTTTCTGTCCCTGCCCTTTACTAAAACTGCCAGTCTGAGAGCTAAAATTCAACCTATTTATGAATCACAATCCGCAAAGATATATACATAGAGAGAGAGAGAGTTAATTACTGTTTAAGGGTTCTAAAAAGACTTTAATTATTTACTTCAGAAGAGAAGAGAAAGAAGAGAAAATGGAAATGAAATACTTATTTTTCCCCTCTTTTCACTAGTTGAAGTACTCTTTTATTTTCTTTCCTTTCCTTTCTCTATGTGAAGCCTATTAGTAGCCATTTGCAGTACCTGATAGATTTTCTCTTTCCTCTCTCAAGTTGGTTCCCAAACTGGTTGCCTTACTAGCTAGTGCTACCTTAACAACCTATTATCTTTTTTTCCAGAGAATAATGCAGTTTTTCTTTAATTTAATTTCAAAATGTTAAAATATAAAATAATTGTCTCCTTGGACCCCATTAGCATAGTGGTTTGAGTGTTGGACTACCATTCTAGAGATCAGGGTTCAATTCCCAGCCCAACCATGAAACCCACTGGGTGACCTTGGGCAAGTCATATGCTCTCAGCCTCAGAGAACAGCAATGGCAAACCTCCTCTGAACAAATCTCGCCAAGAAAACCCCATGATAGGTTCACCTTAGGGTTGCCAATAAGTCAGAAATGACTTGAAGGCACACATCAGCAACCTTATTGGAAGCTGGTGGTGCCCATTCCACTATTCTGGGTTTTAGGTGCTGTTTCTTTTTGTGGGGTAGGGTCTGGCCCCTTGGATAGCTCCTTTAAAGTTAGGACTATGCCCCAAAATGCAGCCATTGTCCACTGACACAGAAGCCACCAAAACCCATTGCTTGGACCTCTATCCAAAGGAAGATAAACTGAACCGTTTCCCCACAGTGATGGCAGATGCCTACAGGTGTGATGCCCATTGGTGACCATTTGTGGGCAGAAGCAGTGGCGGGTAGGACCAAAGGTGGGTCACCAAAAACAGAGCCAAATACATAGAGTTTGTTAACAACTGCTCCTTTGCAGGGTCTAAGTATTCTTTGTATTCATAGGCTGATTGGAAAGGGGGTACCTTCTACCCCTACATGGCTTAGATCCAGGTTATTTGAAGGACCATGTGTGGTGTTTGGAAGTTAAGTATATATGGTGAGCCAGCGCAGTGCAGTGGTTTGAGCATTGGACTATGACTCTGGAGACCAGGGTTCAATTCCTGGCTCAGCCATGAAACCCATTGCTTGGACCTCTGTCCAAAGGAAGATAAAGTGAACTGTTTCCCCACAGTGATGGCAGATGCCTACAGGTGTGATGCCCACTGAGCCACTGATTCTTCGTCTCTCACCAGTTCTTGGGACGAGATGCTGCTGCATAAATATACATGAATGTGTGAACAAAAATAGGCACACTATGCAAACAAAATATTTTTATGCATACATTCTTTTGAGTCAGGAGGGGTATGATGTTGTGGACAAAGATGTAAAGGGAGTCACGAGGGTAAAATGTTTGAGAACCACTGCACTGTACCATTGAGGCAGGTGGGGAGGAAGAGGAGGAGAAAGGAGTGGTAGCCATCACCATCACTGCACTATGGGAAAAGGGAGGAGAGGAAGGAAGCAGCTCTCGTTGTAGTCAACTGCCTTTATGTTGACACTGACTCATGGTGACCCTGTAGATGAGACACCTCCATGATTCCTGATCTTCCACTGCTCTGCATAGGTCCTGCAAATTCATGCCTGTGACCTCCCTGATTGAGTCTAGCCATCTGGCATCTTCCTCTCCTCCTACATCCCTCCATCTTCCTTAGCAATATTGTCTTTTCAAGTGTTCCATGCCTTCTCATTATGTGGTCAAGTATGACAGCCTCGATTTGATCATCTTGGCTTCCAAGGAGATTTCAGGCTTGATCTATTCAAGGACCCATTTGTTTGGTTTTTTGGCTCTCTGTGATATCCTAAGCACTTTTCTTTCAGCACTACATCTCAAATGAATTGATTATGTCTGCTTTCTCTCCTGTCCAGCTCTGCATCCATACATGGTGATGGGGAATACTATGGCTTGGATAATTCTAATGTTAGTAAGTTGTATATCTTTACTCTTCAGGAGCTTCTCCAGTTGTTTCATAGCTGCCCTTCCCATCCCAAGTCTTCTTATTTCTTGACTGCAGTCACCATTCTGGTCAATGCTTGATCCTAGGTATGGGAACTTTTTAACTATTTCTATTTCCTCATGAATTTATCTATTTCTTCTGTGGTCATTATTTTTATTTTCTTTATGTTCAACATTAATCTTGTTTTGCACTTTCATCCTTGATCTTCCTTAGTAGCTGTTCCAAGTCTATGGTGTTTTCCACTAGTATTATGGTGCCATCTTCATATCTTTGTTGTTGATTGTTGATGTTCTCTCCACCTATCTTCATTCCAGTAAGATGTCTTAAATTCTTGTGGGCTTCACTTACAGGGAGTGTAGATTCCAGCTGAACATCAGTAGAAACACTGTCATAAGGGCAAAGGAGCTTATTACCCAGGGTTCTGGTGGGCTCTGCCTAGCTAAAGGTCTTCATACAAATGCTGGACAATCATCTGTTGAGATGCTCTGTGTGCATCTGCGTGCCTTCAAGTTGTACGACAACTTCATGTGTTTTCATTGTGAAATATTGGAAGATCTGTTACTAAAAAGAACAAGACATGTGAGAGAGAAAAGTTGATTTTTACAAATGTTGAGATCAGCTACCAGTGGTAAATTACTAAGAAAGAAAGAGAGAGGAAGAGCAAGGATGTAGAAGTGTGGGGGGGGGCAGTTAAAATTAACAACCCACCCCAATAAGAATCTTGTCTCCTGAAATAAAAATTTCCTTCATTTCCCAAATTTCTAGCATTGCAGTAGCTTAGAACTGCAGTTGAATATGTAGAAATACCATTTAAGCACACAAAGAAAAGGGGCAGGCAAATTTACCAAGGGACTGTGAACATGGCAAATATAAAAGGTCTAGAACAGGGGTAGGCAACCTAAGGCCCGGGGGCCAGATGCGGCCCCCTGAAGCCTTTGGACCAGCCTCAGGCCGGTCCTGCTGCCGCTCCCTGCCGCCGCCATGATGATATTGATTATTGTTGTTATTACTTGTTCTTGGGTTTTTCTTGGCAAAATCTCCACAGGGGTTTTGCCATGGCTTTTCTGGGGCTGAGAGTGTGTGCATGCATTTTTTTTGTGCTTCGGCCCCCCAATTGTCTGAGGGACACCAACCCAGCCCACGGCTCAAAAAGGTTGCCTACCCCTGGTCTAGAATTATAGAATCATAGAGTTAGATGGGACTGCAAGGGCCAACTAGTGCAACCCTCTGCCATGCAGGAATGCACAACTAAAGCACTCTAATCCAATCTCCAAAGAGTCCACCACCTCCAGAGGCAGTCTGTTCCACTTTCAAAGAAATTATTCCTAAGGTCTAGATGGAATCTATTGTCTTGCAATTTGAATCCACTGGTTCTTGTTCTAATCTCTGGAACAGCAGAACACAAGTTTGTTCCATCTTCTGCATTGTAACCCTTCAGATATTTAAAGATGGAATCATAGAGTTAGTAAAGACTCCAAGGGCCATCCAGTCAAATCCCCTGCCATGCAGGAAGGCACAATCAAAGCACTCCTGACAGATGACCATCCAGCCTCTTTTTCAAAACCTCCAAAGAAGGAAACCCTCCAAAGCAGCATGTTCCACTATTGGACTGTCAGGAAGTTCTTCCTAATGCTTAGGTGGAACTCTTTTCCTGTAGTTTGAGTCCATGACTCCATGTCCAAATCTTTGGAGCAGCAGAAAGCAAGCTTGCTCCATCCTCAATATGACCTCCCTTCAAAGATTTAAACAGGGCTGTCATGTCACCTCTTAACCATCTCTCCCTAAATATGCATATATCCCAGTCTTCTTTTCTCCAATATAAACCTACCCAGTACTGTAAGTCATGCCTCATAGGGCTTGGTTTCCAGTCCTTTGATCATTTTGATCACCTTCCTCAGGACCCATTCAGCTATGAACAATCTTCGGTGTCTAGGTATGAACTTCAGAGCATCATTTCTGCAATGCAAAAAATTGGTGGACTTTATTGAGGGGAGAAGTCATACTCAGCAGCATTCCCCCCACACCTGCAGCTATACCCCTGAGAAAAAAGTGTATAGGAGGAAATGAGGTGAAGCCTGAGATTATCAGCCTATAGAAAGGGAAGCAACAAAGTGGACAACACAAAGAGAGAATGCACCAGGAAACCCAAATTACCTCTTTGTGTCTCCACTGGCATATGATAACTTGTGCATGCATAGTTATATATTTCTTTACTTCCAATGTATCTATGCTTGCAAAGCATTTGTACGCAGATACATGGTTTGCACAGCGCATCTTTAAGTCCGCCATTATAAATGTCTCCTTCACAACTGATATACAGAGCACTTTCCCTGTCTGCTTGCCTTTGCATTCTTGAATGTGAATGAGGAAGAAAGAAGAAAGAAAAGGGGGGGAAAGACACTGAGGAAGAAAACTGAGACAGAGCTTTGGCCATTAAAACTTTAAACGACAACGTTCTAATCAAATACTTTGCTCAAATTTCCTATTAGCCTGGGTGGTGTATAACTTTATTCTTCTAAGTCAACAGGAGAGAAAATTTGATGTTACTTGACATAAGTAAAGGTACATTTGCTTTATGACCAGCAAAAGGTCAGGAACATTTTGTGATTGCAAGAAATTGCATCTATTACAAGCTGTAGGCATTCTCTGACTGTAAAACTGGCATCTGCTCTGCTTTATCAAAAACTGTAGTGTTTTTCTTTTTCCTTTTGGACTTTTGGGGGCTGCTGTGGTAGGATTTTCCATCTACATTACAAAAACACCGTGGAAAAGAAGAATTTCATAGCAGTACAGATTGGTGGCGCCAAGGCAAGCGGGGGTGGTTATTCTGTTTTGGGTTTCAGTCTGAATTTTAAAGTAGCCATCCAAGGTGTTGATGGATAGCATTCAGCACCTTGAATAAATCTTTTGCAGTTCAGACCCAGATCAGATTTGCTACCCCACTGATAATTCAGATGGTTTGACAAGCCCATATACACAGAGATATTTTACATTTCAAGTTTTTCTGGATCCATAAGAACACTGAATTATAGACTGGAAAACTCCCTTATTTAGGGTCAGGCTGTTTGCATCTATGTATCTCAACATTGTCTTGCTTGATTGGCAGCTGAGATTTTCTTATCACCCGCTACTTGATCCTTTTACCTGGAGACAGCAGGGACTGAACTGGGTAAACTATGTAAGACGGATTCTACCAGTGAGGTATGATCCCATCCCAGTGCAGCTTTGAAAGATCAGTTCCCTTGCGATGAAAGGGGCTTTACTAGATAGTTATCACATTTTTTGCTGGCATATATTGTCAATCAGTATTTACATTTTCCTTTTGTGAAGAGGTTTAGTACTGCCAGGGCTTGCACAGTCAAAGTGCTGGAACTATTTGATCAACTCCAGTCTTCCCTATTCTATCTAAGGGCTAGTCTACATGATTTTCTGTTTTTAATTTGTTATTGTGATTTTAATTGATATATAGTTTAATAACTTTTTAAAGGGGGGAGGGAAATATATTGTTTATGTTGTATGTTTTTAATGTTGTAAACCGCCCGGATTGGTTCGCCAAAGGGCAGTATAAAAATAAAATTATTTATTATTATTATTATTATTATTATTATTATTATTATTATTATTAATTAAAATACTCTCATATTCCTCAATCCACTCTAGTAGAATCTTATCCAGCCACACACGATTCGCAGCTCATGCTTTTTGGGGAGGGGGACGGAAACCAAAAAACTCCTTAAACTCTGCCAAAAAAGCCTTCACAGTTTTTACCAGAATTTCTGTGGAAGTCTGCAGAAATGCACATTATTGTATGGCTGCACATTTTTGGCAGAGGGAGAGAGAACAGCTGCGAATTTGTACATGAAAGGGAAGACAATTAACCATTGATGAAAAAAATGTGCAAAAATCCATAGCAATACTTATAAACTAGCCCAAAGTTTAGTTGCAATGCTGTAGCGGCTGGCAGGGAGAGGCATTCATATTTCTCCCAGCAGTGATGTACTGAGACCTATCCTCATTTTGATATAAAGTGTGTGTAGGGGGAGGGAATGGATAGGTAACCAGAATTTGGAAATAACCAGTTAGATTTAAACTTAACTAGTTTTGTGTTATTTTGATACTCCCTTTTCCCAGCAAGCCTTAACTACAGCATGGAAATAACTAGTTGGGTTCAACCTATGGCACACAAATTTGTTTCTTCCTTCCTCCAACAAGGTTTAACTAATTGCATTCACACTTCCAGTGATGCAACATATAAGAGTTTATGCCTTCTCGTTCATTACAGGGTGTAGGAGGAGGATCACATAGTTCAGTGTGCTGGTTTATTATGTCTAAAAGAAAAGATAGAAGGAAGCTCTATCATATCCTGCTTAAAGCTGGCAAGTGCCCAGATAAGCAGACCTATGTTATTATTGCTAATTGTCCTTGAGTCGGCCCCAACTCATGGTGACTCCATGAATGAGATACTTCCTAGCCCCATTGTCCTTAACTGCTCTGCTCAGGTCCTGCAGGCTCATGGATTTGGCCTCCTTGATTGAGTCTAGCACACTGGTATGTGGGCTTTTTCTCTTTCTACTGCCCTCCACCTTTCCTACCATTATTTTGTTTTCTAGTATATCATGCTTTCTCATTATGTGGCCAAATGACAACAGCCTCAGTTTCATCATCTTGGCTTCTAAGGAGAGTTCAGGTTTGATCTGTTCTAGGACCCATTTGTTTGCCTTTTTGGCCATCCACAGTATCCTTAGCACTCTTCTCCAGCACTACATCTTAAATGAGTTGATTTTCTATCAGCTTTTTTCACTGTCCAGCTCTCACATCCAAACATGGTGATGGGAGAGACAATGACTTGGACAATCCTACCTTTGGTTCATATCTGTGCGCCTTGAGGTAATTTTTGACTTATGGGTGACCCTAAGGTGAAGCTATCATGGGGGTTTCTTGGCAAGATTAGTTCAGAGGAGGTTTGCCATTGCCCTCCCCTGAGGCTGAGAGCATGTGACATCCCCAAGGTGAGTTTTATGGCTGAGCTGTGAATCAAACTCTGGTTTCCAGAGTCATACTCCAACACACAAACCCTTACACCAGGCTCTCTCCCTTTAAATTTGGTATTCAGTTTTGTATCTTTGCACTTTAAGATCACACCTACAGTCCACAAGAACTGGCAGGGGAAAGCCAGTCCAGCTCCAAGGCTTACACAGAGTAACAAACAGAACCATGGTCCATACAGTCCAAGATTCAAAGAGAGAAAAAAGTCCTGAAGACTCCAAAGACGAGAGGGCAAGGGTCATAAAGATTAGTCCAGAGTAGGCATTGATGGTCAGCGAGCCAAGAAGCCAGAGAGGTCAGAAATGGTTGCACAGAGGTTTGGAAGCAGTTGTTCTGCAGCAATGAAATGGACTGTGTGTATGCCTTCAAGTCACCTCTTGACTTATGGCACCCCATTGAATTTCATAGGGTTTTCTTAGGCAAGGAATACTGAGAGGTGGCTTTGCCAGTTCCTTCCTAGCTAACAATTAATCAGCCCAGCAGGCCTCATTAGCTCAGTGTCCTGTATTTACTGTGGGCCAGAGTATTGCCTGAACTTCTGCTCCTGGCACTTTAATTTACATCACTTAATAAGGTGAAGGACCTCTACCTCCACCTCCTGATTTTCAACTACTGTCTGGGATGGACCACACTCTGTCTCTGCTGCTGCCATGGCAGGACTGCCAGCTTCCCCATTTCCAACTGGGACCCATCATCCTGGCTTCCTTCTTCTCCTTCTTTGTCTGAGGATGCCTCCTCTGGGTAGGACATGACCTATCTGCCAGCTTCCTGGGGAGAAAGAAAGTAAAGAGATGGAGCCAGAGATTCCAGAGGACTGGGCAGCAGTGTTCAAGAAAGAAACTGAAAGGAGAAACCCCTAGCACAAGTAATTACATCCCATCTTTTCCAATGTTAATGACAATTCATTGATTTCTCCCCATTTCTAACAATCAGTATTAATTAACTATTGTCTTGAGAATAATATTCCAAGTTTAGTAAGATGTTGTATGCATGAAGAGGTAATATACTAAAAGATTGAGAGCCAGTGTGGTGTAGTGGTTTGCATGTTGGACCAAGACACTGGAAGACCAAGGTTCAAATCCTCACTTGGCCTTGGAAATTCACTGGATGATCTTGGGCAACTCACACTCTCTCGACTTCAGAGGAAGGCAAGGACAAACCCCCACTAAACAAATTCTGCCAAGAAAACCACATGATATGTTTGCCTTATGATTGTCATAAGTCAAAAATGACTTGAAGGCACACAACAACAGCAACGACAAATACAGGTATCATATATGACTAATAGCCATTGATAGCTTTAGCCTCTGTGGAAGAATTCTCATCTCCTTTTAAATCCATTCAAGTTGGTGTCCATCACATAAAATACATCTGGACAAGGCAGCAAATGTAATTTATTTCTGTGACAGGACCCGAGGATTTCTAACAGACAATCCTTGGTACATTCTGAAAAACCAAATTGCCACAATTCTCTAGATGCCTTCCTAATGACCTATAAAAAGCAAATTTAACTTTGCAGTGAATAGACATAATGACACTACAAATATATGGTATTAGTTTTATACTAGTTTTAACTATTGTCCCTTTTTCCAGAGAATGTTGGGCACTGTAATTTGAAGGGTTTACTGAGATTATTCTGCTAAATAGCTCTTCTTTTTTCTCAGAGAACTACCAGTGGTTCCTGGGAAGAAAAAAATAATTACTATTACATCAAATCTGGGTTATGTGGATATATACCTAGGTACGTATGCCTTGAGATCTTTGCACTCAATGGTACCATTTGGCAGATTGGTTGTCTTCCAATTTTTTGACAAAAGTAAGCCTCTACCCTGCTTCCTGAAGGTAGCTAGAAAGAAAAGATGTCAAGGGAAAAAAGAATGGAAGGAAAGGAGGAGACATAACGCACGAAGCACTAGCTTCCATGTTAGTTGGGCAATGAATCGGTACCATTAGCCTGAATTTTAAAGGAACTATCCAAGGCTCTGAGCTGTAATTCCAAAATGGGTTCAGCATCTTTGGCTGTATCTACACTGCAAAAATAATCCAGTTTAACACTGCTTTAACTGCCATTAGTCAGTGCTACAGAATTCTGGGAATCGTAGTTTTCTGAGACATTTACCCTTTTTTGTCAGAGAGCTCTGGTGCCCCCACGAAACTACAAATCCCAGAATCCTACAACATTGAGCCATGGCAATTACAGTGGTATTAAACTGGATTATTTCTGCAGTGTGGATATAGCCTTTGCCAGCTAATTGAAAGTTTGGTCTAAAACCCAGAACAAAACCACTGCTTCACTAATTTGAATATGTCAGGGTGCTTTCAGATAGAGAGCTCCTAGTTTTGCCAGTCAAGAACCACTGCAAAACTGTTTTGTCTTTTTCTCCTTAATTCATTTTTATAATAATAATAATAATGATAATAATAATAATTGCAATAAGTAGTCACATTCTCTTAACCCAGGGGTAGGCAACCTAAGGCCCGGGGGCCGAATGCGGCCCCCCGAG